CCCTTGTTCAGCTCCTCGTATGCGCTGTCTAAATAGCCTAATGGTCTGCCTCCTGCCAGTTGGGATTTTCTAACACTTTCTGTTTATTTGGAATATTTGTTTCTCTCAGCATATAAAATGAATATATGCGCGTTATAAGTATCAAAATTATTACTATTTTGAAAGGACGCTGATTGCTTATTAACAGGACAGCGATAACGGAACTTGTGATGCAGGGAGGACATGCTACGTGTAACGCAGTTGTGGCTGGGGCCTTGTTAGGCTGTAAATTTGGATATTCTGAACTGCCGAGAGACTGGCTTGAGGGATTAATACCCCAACAAGTGACATGGCTAAATACGAAGATTAACTCACTGCTGGATATGATGGCTCTGCCGTGAGGGTGAAGGAAAACAGCACTTTCATAGCCATGGTTTGGGTTTTCATACTACAGTTCGTTAACCCTTTAACTCCCAAGATCTGATTGTTAATTCTCCCCTCTAGCTGCTTTACATTTCCTTGTAAATTAGTTATGAGAACTTGGTGCTAGATCAAGATAGCGGCTTCTACCTGATAAGTTTGAATATTCTCATTACCTGTTTGCTGAATAGTGTATGGATATTATAGGGAGAATTTTCATGTTAATCATTTCTGGGAGTTAAAGAGTTAATAATAAGAATCAACCACAGGATGATTAAAATTTGCTACATACAAGCACATTCCAGAGGATAGATCAAGACGGTTGGAAATCCTTGGCACGTAAGATCCTTGTTCAGTGGGAGGAAATTATCAAATATCCACTCGCTCCATAAATTAAAAGCTTAATTATCGCTCGACAGCGCCGTGTATTTTTCAACATTAAAAGAAACAGTTCCGTCTAAGAGTAAACTGCGAAGTGAAAAAGGTTTGTGTTACCTGAGAGTGCCAGATAAAAAGATGTACGTATTGGACAAAGACCATACGAAAAAAATTTTTAGAGTCAAAAGCTATGCAATGAATTTTAACAGAAATTAAAAATTTCTCAAGTTTTACGTTATTTTATGGTGACATTTATGGGAAAAGCTGTTGACGTTTCCACTTTTCAGCTCCGTAACTGCAGTTCCTAAGCCCTTGCTCAATGTAGAACGACGGTCCAGAAAGATTACGGAACAAAGGAAACAACTTACTTGTGTTCGTTTATTTCGTTGCAGAAGAATCAAATAATTAACGCGTACACGACAATTTTAAATTAAGTACGCGTTGGCGTAAAGCTCACTAATGATGACTCTATTAAGAGTCCTAAACACGAGTTGCGTACAATCGTGGTATTACATAATGTTTTAAAGTTGAACTTAGACACGTGCGGGTAGAAACTGTTGAATGATTGATTTCGGTGTAAATGTTGTTAAAGGATTCCGAAAGGATAGTACAAACCCCAATTTCCCAACCTGAATTTTTCTAAAGACGCCTCATTTATACTTGGCCACAAATCCTATACAAAATTACAGAAGAACACCTACTTGCAAAAGGAATTCAGGTCAGGTGTGGAAGACCTCCGAAATATTCTTTGTAAACTGAATCTTTTGAAATTACCCCAACGTTATTACCTTAAACTAGCTGTAAATCGATAGTGATCCCATTATCTTTATAACAACCTAACTACCTGACAATTTTGATTATCCTCGATACATTGACCACAAACACCGTTGGTCAAAGTAAATTTAAATGCGCGAGTAAAATGTTGTCATTCGTGACCGTAGGCCTCTGAGGTCCCACTTGTCTGCCCTTCAGCAGCTAAGACAATCCCCCTTTACAAAGTACCCTCCACGAGCCACCTTATTCCACATCAATAATGAGAAACATAACAAAAAAGAGACTGGGTAACCTGTTTCGCGGTCACTGTAGGTGGATAAAAGCGAAATAGCGGGAGGGCGACGCTTCCACCGACATCCCGCGATTTTCCGCCTGACGGCACAGTCCGCGTTGCGTATGTCTCCCCTGATTAAGAGCTAGGGGGCTGGAGGTGGAGGTACTCCGAAAGGCGATTCAGGTGTCCGCTGGTCTCGATTTAGAACGTGGTTAACCCTGATTACCTCCAACAGTCAGCCAGTACAAACGAACTCAGAGATTGATTTTGTAACCCGGTCTTCCCGATGAAGAACGGGGCAGCCGTTCAATAAACCCTTCTCGAAAATGGCGTTCAGCCGAAATTGAATCTTAAATGTATCATAATGGTGAATATTCCCCACAGCTCCAAAGTGTAATGTCCAAACCTCGCACTAACACTACCCATATCTTCATAGAAATGAGGATCTGAAATATTTTATACTTGCATACGCTTGTATATGACCCTGGGTGAGGCATGAACTCCGAGCCAATCAAAATGTCCTTCGTTCTCTTAAAATTAACAATATTTCGCCAGCTGAAATAACAGCTGGATGAGACTTCAGAAGCAAAATGACCAAATAAAAGGTGGTCATGTAGCTGAAGGTAAGTATATTTGTATACGTTTGTATGTATTTGATGATTTTCATTTTCTGCGGACATTTTCAAGAAGGGTCCATTTCAATAGTAACTGTCGTTAAAAATCTTTTACTTAAGGATGGGTTGTCCCGGGTACCTAAACTGACATAAATGAGGCTTAAGTGGCACAACTAATAATTTATCGATACGTCCTGGTGGTTAAAACCCCCAAAACAACATCTAACCTGGAAACATTTACCAGTTAACTGCTAAATTCGCTCTTCCAGACACTACTAACGAAAAATAAATGTTCCTGTAATATTTTTTCCAAAAATGGTACTAATTCCCCATGGATACGACGGTATTTTGCGTATATCTTACTTAAATGTGTTAAACATTATGCTACCTAATTAATTATTTGCACTACCTATTACTTCAATAGCGCCCCTAATGATTTAATCGTAAACAGGCAAGTTTTACTAACTTATACCGCGCTCACACACGGGCAGAGTGAACCACGTTGTCATCAGTCCACCTCGGTTAAGTGACCAATATAATTGGTGTTATTACTTAATCCGCCTTAACTTTTCACCGACAAGGTGAAATCATCCATGCGGAAAAACCGTTCTAGTTTCTATTAAACAGTCTGGAAAGTGCTTTAATCGTCTTCATTGTCAATTGAGTGCGTTGGTTTCCCAGTCGGTGTATCGTACTCTACTGTGAATTTAGCCATTTCGTTGCTGCACTCACTAAGGGGAATCACAAACGTCGATATATCATCGTATGAGGCTAACTCGCCATTGGTTCTTCTCCAACCTTTTTCATTCAGAGTGCCTCGCGCATCCCCAACAAGGGCCTGGGCTGCCATGACGTACCTGGAGAAAAAAAGTGGACGTCAAAGAAAGAATGGCCTCCATTTGGCGATAGCAAATTACCGCATTTTTGTCCGTGGGTTTCATTTCCGAGACGCAAGCCGTTTTCCGAAAGCAGGGCCATTATCGGCTAATCATCAGAATAAAAGAAACTTGGAACAAATCTACGCTATCGACAAAAGGCACAGTCGTCAACTTTAACCCCTTAAGAGTGACAAGCATCCAATTTCTCCTTATAATATCCCCCTCCCCCCCTCCCCGAAACACATTAAAGTCACGAGATTAAAGGAAATGATCAACAACTGAAGAAGCTCTTGATTGTTAAACAAATTCTCCTTGTCAGCACCTTAGGAATAGTATAGAGAACAGTGTGCAGAATATGCATATTAATGTCAAGGTGCAAAGGTCGACAAACTTTACTATCTTGAAATGGAAGAAAGCGCTGCTTAGCTATGTTAAAGTATTGATGCATACTTTACCTTCTTTTGTCGTCTCTTGGAATTTTGGAAAACGTATCCATTACCATTGCCGCAGCCTGAAAAAAAGTAAAGTGTTATAAGAGGTTTTGGGCTTCATGCCGAATACGTGATGAAAAGTTCCCCCACAAGTTTGTGGGTGGTGTGAAATGAATGGGTACTGTTGTGAGGTGACGGGGGGAATGGTTTAAGTTTGATAGTGGTGATGAACAGAGCGGAAAGTGGAGGGCGAGTATACATTGAGCCATTTGGGTTGAAGTGGAATTGAAAGCAAGGGGGTTGCGTGCGAGGAGTGAACTATAGGGAGAAGCCAAAAGGGGTACTGAGCCATTAGGTGGGATATGAAATGAGAAGTAGGGTAGAGAGTGCACTCGAGACTGGGGTGAGAAGTAAAGAGGAAGGAAATAGAGGGTGCACGGGATGGAGAGTGTGGAGGAACTTAAAGTGAGGAATAACCTTGGAATGAAATGGGGAAGCTTAAAGTGAAGTATGGACTAGCGTGGGAAATAAAATGGGGGAGGAGTTAGTAGTGAGGTCAAGAATTGAGTGGAGACTGTGCAGCGTCGAAGAGGAGCTAAATGATGGAATGTACCAGTGGACTACAGAGAAGTAAAAGTGATATGAATATAGATCGATATGAGAGGGTTCGTTAGAATAAATAAACAGAATAAATATACACAGTAATTTCGACAGAGAGCTTTTTGCACATAACTGATGGATAAGAGGAACAAAAATGACAGGCTTAATGACCCGCTTTTGAAAGCACAATCATTTGAATTTGCGCAACAAGTCAACTTTTTCTTTAATAAAAAAAATAAAGTACGAGTTTCATTACCTTTTCACTGGATAATCTCTCCCAGAGTCCGTCGGAAGCCATTATCACAACATCATCCTCTGTGAGCTTACAGCTAGACAAGTCAAACTTCCGAACCTGTGAGGAGTACGAAAACAGGCACATGTAGCGGTAAAGGGGTTTTCCTTTCCACGATTAAGCCAGAATGCGGCATAAATGAGATTTTTCGATGACCGTCGAGTTTATCAAATACCGCCATCTCCTTATCTAACAACAACACATCCAAGCAATAGAGGGTTCGCTAGTAATTTCGATCCTTCACACCAAAATGTCTAACCATAGTGCTTATCTTCGATCACGCCTCCCGAGCCCCAACCCTTTTGGCCAGATTTTTTGATTTTGACAGCCAGTTATGATATTTCCGCTTACATCTTCGCTGACCAAAAGGATTGCGGTACAGGAACGAATTAGAGTTTATTTTGCAAACTTCGTTTCATAACGCTGTTACAATAATAACTCTCATGTCTGTTACTACAGCTCCTATTTGATGACTCCAGTATCAGTTAAGGTATATCAGTAGCCGCAAAACGCTTACCTCTGGTTGTGGAGTGAGAAAAGGTTTAATAGGAAGGCTACAGAAAGCCACTCTCAAATCATGATCTCCAAACCCACGAGTTGTTCCTATGGTGTCCAAAAGGCGGGCCTGGTAAACAAACAAATCATACTGCTTCTTAACAATACGACTAGTAAATTGGTGGGTTCTTCCATTACTTGCAAGCAGGCCCTGATCAGTAGTACTTCAGCACGAGCGTTTCCTCGTTCGCGCAAAAATAAGAGGCCTTGAGCAACGCGAGCTTGAGGGGTCAACATGAGATCCAGCTCGGTAAACCTCTCCCCAGATCGCCAGATCGTCTCTTTCCGCGGGCAGAGAAACACGCGTCCTGCAGCACTAAAAATGAGGGCCTGCGCAAAGGCTAGTTCTTCCACCATGAAGAACCTGATCCGTTAAAACGCTGTTCCTTTGAACTACACATGAAAATTAATTTGGAGAATCACTTGTTACATATCGTGCGTGGCAGGCTCTGAAGTAAGAACAGAGCGCAATTATTAAAGGTAATCGAAGTAGAATAGTTTCAAGCCTTGCTCGTGATTCAAGAACGTGCGTTCTTTGTTTTTGTTTTTTTTTTTTGCACGCGCGTCCTTTGAAACTCGCGCACACTTTTCTCAAGCGCTTCCTGCTTAGACACATCTCAAGAGAGGTAGTTCCTTCGCTTGTGCATGATTAGAAACCGTTCAAGGCTAAAAAGGTCTTACCACCACTTAGAGTGCATTTTGCCGCAAGCAAAAGTAGGATGAAAGCATTACGGTGTTGTGATGAGCACATGCGCATATGGGCCGTTTCAATCAAAGGACGGAATACAATATTAGCAAGATGACCTCCAATTGACCTCCTTCTAATTGTATAAACAAAGTTTCACTTTTTTGACGTGACGATCGTATGACATACAGTACGTTCTGATTGAATAGAAACAGAAACGAAAATACAAAATAAATAGAATGGGTCTTGACAATACCTTCTTTCCTTCACCATTAATCATTGGAAATTTTCTTGTGTCCTCCTCGGTCACCGTCTTAAGAGCCCTGTTGAAATGCAGAGGTGTCAGAGTATCAGAGTCACAACTTGTAAGAGGTTATTAAGTCTCTCTAACTACTTCCTGGTCAGATTCTTAGTGAACTACCGATAACGTTCTGTAAGGCCGGGTTGTTCAAAGCTGGGTTAAGATAACCCAGGGATAGTGTAAAATTTAGAAACCTATATTAAAACTCAACTCCGGGTTAGCGCTAATCGAACAACTGAGTCCTGAGTCCTAAGAATTAAAATCCTGCCACCGAGTTCTTCCTTCGGTGCCCCATTGGGGAATTGAACACAGGCGGCCATCAGGGGTCAACCCTAGTTATGTGGGGCACACCAACGGAACCAACTCCTAATCTGTTCATCTTCTAACAAGCGTAATATATTCCAAGTTCGTCATTTGCAATCCGTCTAATTATCCGCCAACCTTTCCAGTTCTCATTCCTCATTGTCTTATTCACCTCCCATCTCCCCCCGTTAGCCCTGGCCTGGCCCCCACAGCCCCCCACACCTCCCCCCCATGGCACCCCCCCCCTTCCCCCACGCACAGTAAACAATTATTTAAGAACTTTTCAATGACCCAAACAAAACATGGGGGTTACAGCCTCTAGAAAATATGACAGATCTGTGGAAGCAAACAGTCAACTGCAGTGGAGACAATGGATGAAGAAGGTGAATGGCAAAGATCTGTTATCGGGCAGCGCTTTTTTTGCACATTGACTGTAACCTCCAGATGATATACTGAGTGATTTGGCAGCAACACAAAATTTGCAGAAGCACAAAAATGAAAAAAAAAAAAAAAAAAAAAAAAGAAAAACATACCATCCTGTCATATGTCGGTCCCTATAAAGCAACTTCTGACCAATATGTTTTTTCCTGGCCCTCTGCTGAAATTCAAGCCGGCCAAAGTCACTTCCTAAAAGCTGAGGTTTCTGATAAGCCTATCAGAGAACAAAAGCATTCATAAGCAAAATCACACAGAAATGTTTCATGAATGTTACTAATTTGTTAGATAACAAACAAGTGCAACATATTTTTTGGTTCACTAATTTTTCACAACTTACAAGTAACTGAAGTCTTTGTCTCTCTGTCTCTGGTGTGAAGTCGTATGAAAGAGGAATAACTTTTCCCTTGTGGACTAGGATTGCTCTGATGAAATCATTAAAACAGAAACAAAACAAACAAAATAAAATTAAAATATATTGACCCTTTCACCCCTGAGAGTGACTAGCATATAATTTCTCCTGACAATATCACTCCTGAATTAACCATTAAGGTTAGGAGAATAAATAAAATGATCACCAACTGAATAAGCTCTTGATTATGAAACAAATTCTCCTTGTCAGGGCCTTACAAAATGTGTAGATAACAGTATCGAGAATATGCATACTGATGTTAGGGTGTAAAGGGTTAAAGCAAATACACCAATGTAGTAAGAGCCCTTTTTTTCCTTTTTTTTCATGGCCTCATCTAAACATTGAAGGGGGTTGGGAGAGTTCAGGAAAGTTACACAAACCTTAACAACAGCAAGTAATACTTTTCTGTTTTTGATTTGCCAATGTGTCCTTACCTCTGCTGTGATCACAAGAACCAATTATAGAGCAGAGTAACAGAAGGTTTTTTGCATTGTTCAAAAAGAAGTATCCATCAGGTGCATGTGCTAAGCGTCACTTTACAAAATCAAAATGGCATCCTCTCACTTAGCTATACATCCATGCAACCAAACCTCTGCTTCTTTAAAATTTGGGTAATCCATTTGGTTACTCTGCACACATCAAAATTTGGACTACTTTGTTTGCAATTTTAGATTTCAAATATTTGAATGGCTAGGTGTCTACAGTATTGTATGGCAAGGGAGATTCTGTGTGAATGAAACACCCATGGCGTGAAATTTTTAAGAGGAAAAAAATGTATTTGGTATTAGGTGAAAATAGCCCTTAATGCCCTTAACCTGTTCCAGGTGTTCAGTTGGCCCTTTGACTCCCATGAGTGACCAAGACAGAATTTCTCCTTACTATATCTATACAATATCTGTTGACAAGTGATGAGAATTAAGAAAAATATCAATTATGGGATAACTAATTGATCTAATACTAAATTCTCCAAACTAACATTATGAGAATCATTTGGCAGACAGTAAGGAGAATTACTAATGAGATCTCAGGAGTAAAGGGTTAGTAAAATGAAGCACAATAGTAAACAGCACTAAAGTAGCAAAGGAGCAAAAAAACAAGGGAAGTTTGCTTTGGATTCTTTTACCTGATCCAACCCAAACCTCTTTTGTTTTTTCACTCCTCTGCTCCTATCACCCTGTTTGCAATTTTGCTCCATTATAATAATTGAAGCCTGGAATAGGCTCACATGTCCTCTGCTGTAAGTGGTTATAACATGAGTACACGTCAGTCAAAGACAGTGACCTTAACAAATTTGTTCAAACCATGAATATCTACCCTTGGCCTAAGATTAAAGAGACTACCTGCAGTCCCCTGCATTAGCGACATATAACTTCTCTCCAAGAAACAGGGCAACAATTGATGCGCAGCCTCCATCAATCCTGTAGGTGACTTTCTCTCTTCGAATTTGTTCATCCTGTTAAAATTCATTAATTCATAATAATAAATTCTAAGTGTTTATCTTTATTGAGGAATGGATTATGGGTGAGCAAAAAACTGCAGGAGGGTTATTTATATTTCTAGTACCCCCTGCCCTTGATTTTTACCATAACAGTGGTGCCACTTTACTGCTTGTCTCCACAAACCCAGTAACTGAGACAGACCAGTAACACCCAGGTTTGTTGTTGATCTTCAAAGCAAAGGATTGACTCTTCCCAAGTTAAAAAACTTTTCTCCTAATCACATGATGGCTCCATGTTGGGTTTAGATGAAAAGAAACAGCAGGTGCAATAGAAGCAAGCTGCAAATAGTGTTTCACACTCAGTTTGCCCCTTAAAATTCATTTGAGCTCACCATTTCTTTTAGTCCTACTGCATAAGAGAACTTGTTCACAGGATATGTAAATGTCACCAGATGCCTCTAAACTCACCATTTCAAAGAAGGCCTCTTCTAAGACTCCAATCACAAGACTATCAATTGTCACTGAAGAGATAACAGCTTCAGATAATTCCTCTGCTGCAGCAAGTTTTTCATCATTTTCATAGGCCAACAATTCTTTTACTCCATGCAACTTCTCCATTATATGGACATGAAGGTTATTGACAGCCATCAGAGCTGCTCCACATCCAGCATGGCCGTCAAATACACCAAAATATGCGTAAGGGATCTTGGTCTGAAAATTGAAAACATTATCATTTCTGGTACCTATTAAACAACTTTTATCCACTTAACAAAATCAAAATGCATAAGTTAAATTTCAAGTTATCAGTTCCAACCAGATGTCAAGTTACATGCATGTACATGTACTAATGGGATTTTTTAAAGACACCATTGAATTAAAAACTAATTCTTGGAATGATATAGTTTAATGAATATAACTGGAAATGATGAAATTTAAGGTTGGACCATACAGACATGCATACCTGTGTAACATGGGTTGGACTTCCATCACCATCTGATTCCTGGGTCAACTTGCTGACATTTAAGCAGAACATTCCAGCCACCGATTGATCTTCATTTTTATGTGGTGTTTTACCAGCATTTATTGCCCTAAAGAATATTTTTATGTATTTATTCATTAAAATCAACTTGTTAATGTGGCTTGATATGAAAATTTGATAACATTTATGAGAAAAATCCTCTCACTCCCATGATCTCATTACAGATATAGTAGGACAAAAATAATTATTGGTCATACATGGAAGTGAAAAATATTTTGTAATTCATACTTTTTTTATCTTTGTGAAATTTTTTTAAAGAAATAACTACAATGCAAACTATGCAAACCACATAAATGAATGAAGGGAATAAGTTTCTAAAGAAACTGTAGTACTGCATCTGTGGGAAAGTATAATAGCAAAATCGTCTTTTGCTATGACAAAGGGCTGACACTCAAAACATCAGCTTTAAAACTCTGTTATGCAAACCACAGTCCTATTTGCGATTGTAATTTTTTTTTCAGACAAGTATAATTATGTTTGTCTCTGTATCTTCACTTTTAATCCCTATTTGGTTTTATTTCAATTCATTAAGATGCATAACAGACAGCATTCTTAAAGGATGAAGAAGCAAGCAACACCTTCCAGAAATGGCATTCAAGTCCACAACAGAATCAACAGCTAACACGGACTGCAGAATTGAGCAGACATATTGCTTAATTATTATTTCATTCTCTCAAACACAAGAGGTTTTTGAACATCGTGTAGTTATTATCTAAAACTTTAAACTCATTGTATATTTATTATCTTTAACTCTAAATTTTTAGCTAATAAATTTAAACAACAAGCTATTATGTGTCATAATTTCATTTTCAAGTCAACAGGAAGTATATATACATATGCTGACGGACCAAAATTTAAAAATCCTCGGTGTCCCATTGAGATCACTGAATTGCTTTATCAGGGCAAATATCGCCATTATACCCTTAAATCCAAAAACAGATTAGAAAAATAAAGAAAGTAACTATCTGGAATAAAATCGATACCTAGCTACCTTCAAATCATGGCGATAAGACACAGTCCTGTTAAAGGAGGTTTGCCGAGGTCCGAAATAATAAGAATTGAGTCGAACAGGGCACTAAAACAAGTCTTACTCATTCATAATTAACCTCACACCGCTTGTGGACATAAGAAACTAAGCTCGACTCGCGACAGAATCCAGTCAAAACTCAATGAGTAAAGGTTAATTTTTATTGATATCAATCGAAGGTTTTTACCTCCAACGCAAGAGGAAAAGAAAGGAGGACAAAGAAGCTCCCTACGAGGTTATAGTGAGAGCAGGAAGTTAATGGATATAGAGCCTTCGCTAAGTATAGAAGGAATACAATATTAAGTAAACTAGGTAACTAACAACGGATACGGCCGTTGAATTACGATTAGATCACTTACTCGGCATATCCTGCATTCAAGGGAAGTTCCCTGTGTGGCATAAGAATCGCTCTTGAATCATGATCGGATGCCGCTTGTTCAGATTCTTCGTTCAGTTGGAGAAATTCAGGCCTTCGATACTTGTACTTTTCTTCCAACATATCATCATATACACGAAAGCCTAAGCGCCTGTCCGAGTTCACGTTGGTAAAGTAGGCAAGCGCACTGGCCGGGTTAATGTTTAGCATTCGTTTGATGCCATGTAAGCTCATAGTTGGATCCTTAACTGGACATTTAGGGCTCTTCTTCAGGAAAGAAAATAAAAGATGGATTTGC